GCCAACTGGAGATTATTAGCTGTTGATTGAGAAGTGGATGAGAATATGTTGTAAACTGAAAGCTGTAAATTAGAAGCTGGAAGATTACTGGAGTGGTAACTATTCTGCGAAACAACATTATACAATTAAAAATATTTGATGTTCTGCCCTGGCAACCAATCTCTCGCTCTCGCTCTCGCTCTCGCTCTCACTCTCTTCCTCTATCTCTAAAATCAATAAACATGGACTTGGATGAGGGAAAAAAATTGAAGTTCAGCCTTGTTTTAGTGTCTCCATTTTTCTTTAACATAAAATACAATAACTTTAGTTGGTACCTATGTGCGAGCACAGCTAACATGGAATTACTTTGCAGGATGAGCCTTCTTTTCTTTCTTTTTGGTTAGGTGGAGTTTCAAGGAATTATAGGCTCCCCTGAACTGCAAAGGCATTGCATTATGGAAGACACAGACATGAGAATCTTACTTAGCTGTGAGGTTTTATTCTCCAGGTAGGGATTTGAAAGTTCAAAAAGTTCAAGTGGGGAATTATATTTAACAATTCAACATATCTCTTTTCCTAAATGAAAATATAATCATTATTGTAAATCTTTATTACAACATGTATGTGGTATATAATAAAATGTGAGGCAGGTACATTGTCTGGTAATATAAGGAAGATAAAGGAAACTACACATAACATTTCAGCTATACATAGATGTGTTGTATAGGCAAATAGGTATGATTTTAGATCAAAATATGTATAAAGGGTACTTCTGAATATAAAATAAGTTTTCATTTAGGAGAAAGTTATTTCTATAACATGATTTTGCTAAGGATTGAAATTATTTAATATTTGGTATTTTTCATTTATATTATATACATATGAATTCTACCTCTGTATTTACATTTTGAGAGGCTTTAAAAATCAAGAAAAATATTTTTGGACACTGAAAATTCTGTTAAAGTTAAGGAAAATATTTTATAATATGGCGTTAGATAAAATCTTTGGAATATACATGTAAATTACTTCACTACATCTCATGTTATTGTAATGGATGGAAAAGATAAGGCTTGCAGAGTGGAAATTAAAAGATGTACATATCTATAATTAGAATACTTTACATGTGGACATCCAATAAAAAGGATGTTACTTAAGAATTTATAGGGTAAAGAAAGATTACATAGGTAACTTTGTATGGCATTATTGCAAAATCAAAGTGATGAGATAGATATATCACAATTAAAAGAAGATAATTTTACTTTATAACTCCATGTTTATAACTTTAAAAGCCCAACCTAGAGGAAAAAAAACAACGAACTATCTCGCTGGAAAGAGAGCCCTGGCATCTGGGAGGAATATGCTTTCAGATCCTTAAAGGGATCCAAAGTTTAGCAAAATTGATGACTGACAGCATGCAACATTTTTATAATGAATTTAGCATAGTAAAACTCAGCCCAGAAAACATAAACAGAGCTTTACTTTAAGATACTGCAGGTGCACAAAAGTGTAGAATTATACTGTAGACTTAGCATCACCAGGAATCTTCTCCCATACAAGCCCCTCTTGTGACATCCAACACTCATCACACTTGTTAATACTTGTTCAATTTTTCCTCTTTTGTGAGTTCTAGCAGAAACTTGTCCAGCTTATTTTAACAATAAGAATCTGGCTCAACAAATACTCGTGTTACAAAATAATTAATTCACTATGTCTTGCATAGCAAAGATGTTTCCCCTCTGATGATAGTTGTGGTACATAGTTTATGCTAAAAATTATTTCATATCCATTATGACCTACAAACCTGAGTAGAAGAAAGAGAAAATAGTTTTAATTTCCATTTTGTGCTTTAGAGAGATTTTTTTCCCTTGTATAAGAATATGCAATTCCAATTGGTAAATCTAGTATTTTTGTTCAGATTTGTCACATAACAATTCAATTTTCTGTGTAACAAATAGCAGCCCTCTAAAGACTTAGTTTGTGTATTTAAATTCCACACGCATACAGCTCCTTCTTATATGAACTTATAAAACTCCAAATTCAAATGTACAGGATAAAAAAATCTGCATAATACCAAATTTTCAATTCTTTGAAAACTTTATTATCTCTCATTTTGTTGTTATAGTTATTCTCCCCTCCCCCACATGAGGCTAAAATCCGATGGTTTAGTAATGGCCTCCAACAAAATTTGCCTTCCTTCCAATCTCTTAGGTGGCCCCTTCCTACATGGACACTGAGGTTGGTCTTGTGACTTGCTTTAGACAATATGACATTAGTAAATATGACGCAAGCAGAGGCTTTAACATGCCAATGTCCATTGGATTTTTCTCCCAATTACTCCTGGAAATGCTTGTACCACCATTTGAAGAATCTCAGAAAGTCTATCAGAAATGAAATGACACAAAACAGAGACACACTGGCCCAGCTGAGGCTGCCTAGACTGACCCCCCAGTTGAAGGCCAGCAGTCCAACTGTCCAATTGAGCCAAATCAAAATTCTTTTCTCACAAAATTATGAGCAAATTAAATGTCAATTATTGTTTGAAGCCATTAAGATTCTTAATTGGTTTGTTACATAGTAAAGTTTAACTGATAAAACAATTAAAAGGGACCTTTTCTTTAAAAAAAAAAAGATTACACTTTTATTATATACTTTATCTTGGATACAATGCTTTCCCCCAAGAGTAGCAAGTCAGTTAAAAAGAAAGAATATCCAAAATACCTTCAAGATTCCAAAACAAAATTTACAAAATTGAAAAAAGAAATTATTAACAGCCAAAAGCAAAATCTCTGCTCTGTGATCAGATAATGACAGGTAATCATAGGCCATCCGCAGAATAGCAAGCATAGAATCTTGACTTTTCTCTTGAGTAAGAGTGCAGTACTGCATCCTATCATTTTTGTAGAATGGGAGCAAACCCTAGTTTCTTATTTCCTTTATGTATCATATAAAACATGGTTGTTGCTCAGCCGGTGTGGATCAGTAATTAAGCATAGACCTATGAACCAGTAGGTCACAGTTTGATTCCCTGTCAGGGCACATGCCCAGGTTGTGTAGCCGATCAATGATTCTCTCCCATCACTGGTGTTTCTATCTCTCTCTCCCTCTACCTTCTTCTCTGAAATCAATGAAAATAAAACTTGGTTGTATTTTCTAGAATTCAATGTCTCTGTAAAAAAACATTAATGTATAATTCCTACCTCCTTTTTTTTCCTGTTCCCTGTTAAAAAATAACAATTAAAAAACTGAATAAAAAAATCACAGATGTGTGATGATGCAGATTTTAGACCTTACTGTCCAGCACACCAAATGTCGTACAATTATGGAGAGGGTTTAGTATGTGACATTCACAGGAAGGAAAATGCTGTGCTTCATAATGTAGGTACTAGTCATAATATTCAACAAAAAATAAACTGCCAATAAATAAAACCACATAAGAGTCTTCCTCCATATATTTTCCACTACCCAGAACTATCCTATCTAAAGGTACAATATAGAAATTAACAGAAGTAAAACAGATGATTTAAGAAATTGGATAAAATAGCTTGGACTTCTACAATAGCATTCATTTGTACACACCCCGTTTCTATTTCCTTGGTTCCAATGGGATCCCTGGAGGAGGGGCATACAGTGAAGGAGGAAATGAAACTCTAGCCCCGAGAGTGCCAATCATAACTGCACTGTCCATAAAGATGTTTGCATTTGCTTTCAGGAATGTTTTTTTCTAAAGATTAGCAACTGTTAACCATCAGTAGGCTAGATTCTCCTAGGACAAATCAGAACTCATAGCAGAGTGCACTGGGAGCTACTGGGGAGAATTACTTGCCATTCAAATAAAATCCAAGACAGAACCTGAAAGTCTTATTACTGGAGTCCAAGAGTACTAATAATGCCAAAGTGTTCTCTAAATGAATGGACCAGAATTTTGAATTTCTGAGACCAATACAGTTTCAAACATATTTTGGGGTGATAAGTCAGAAATATTTACCAATGACCTCTGTGCCCTTGCTCCCATCATTTCCCAGCCCCCTTGAACTAAAGTGGCACAATTGACTATTTCCGGACATTAGAGTGTAAATGGAAGTGACATGGGTCATTTCCAGGTGAAAACATTTAAAGGTCAATGCATGAACCTCCAACTCTGTCTTACCTCCGGTGGTTACCAAGGACACCACATATTGAGATGCCAGAGAGTCAGGCAGGGTCTGGTGAGTGATTATTTGGAATGTTGGACTTGTAAAGTTAGTAGAGACAGTAAGCAAATAATGAACTTTTTTGTTATATCTTTGAAGTTTGGGGGTCTGTGTTACTGCAATATAAACCTTATCCGGAGCAACCAGGACACTCACATGGTGTCGCCTACTTTCTATTACACCATATAAGGAGCTTTTTGAAATATAAGCAAACAAAATTACCCACATGATATAAAATAAAAAGTATTTTAAAGGCAGAAAGGGCACAATCACAGATTAAAGAATGATTCCTTAAACTGCATCAGTACCATTTTCTTTAAAACATTGTTATATTATCCTTAATTTTGCTATTTTACAGGGCAAAACTTTCATCATGGAATAAAACACCTGTCTTCCAAATGATATTTAAGAACCACTGGTCTAGATATTGCAAAAGTCCCTGGAGAAGAATGTTGACCCAAAGCAATTAAAAATATATAATGACAAAGTCTGGCTTTACCTGTCTTTCAGTGAGATCCAGGTTCACAGCTATCTCATATCTCCTCAGTCTGGTCAGATAATTATGATGGGCAAATTCTGCTTCAAGTTCTCTGATTTGCTCTTTGGTGAATGCTGTCCTTTCCTTCCTGGGTTTGCTATTGACTTCTGACTTGTAATTGCCTTCCTGGGAGTCTAGGGAGAAAGACAAAAGCAAGAGAGAATTAGATTTGGCTCATTCATTCAAACTCTTCAATTATGTCATTCATACCAGACGCATTTATTAACTACTTTTTCAGGTACTGTGTTAGACATGGGGAAAACAGAGACCAAAAACAATAAGACTGATCTCCCATAATCATGATGAGTTTACATATTTCTTATTTTTTCAATATACCTTCAAGTGACTCACAGCCTAATTGGGAAATGTCTAGTTTATTTTCTTATGAAATATGAACAAAATATTTAATTGCTTTTAATTTTACAATGATCAAATAAACCAAAACTTATCTCAAAAACAATTTTAGATATAAAATGTTGCCTAATAATTTAACATATTTACTTGAGTTCTAAGTATGGATAAACAGAGTAATACTAAAAAATAGTGGTGACTTGGTATATGTATATTGGAGCAATTCAAATGTTTAGCAACTGAATCATAAAAGTCGGGGCAAAATCAGGCTAAGCATATGTGTGTGTGTTCACTAGCCTTTAATTTCAATTTTTCAGTCTCCTTGAGGGCAACAGCAATGCTCTTCTTTTATTTTTGTACTAGAGGTCTGGTACACAAATTCGTGCACTTGGGGTGGGGGTACCTCAGCCTGGATTGTGAGAGGGTGCAGGCCAGGCCAAAGGATCCCACTAGTGCACAATCGGGGCCAGGGAGGGACCCAGAAGGTTGGCCAGTGGAGGAGGAACTACGGGAAGGTTCCAGGCCATGTCCGGCCCATCTCACTCAGTCCCTATCAGCCAGACCCCAGCAGCAAGCTAACCTACTCGTCAGAACATCTTCCCCCTGGTGGTCAGTGCACGTCATAGCTAGAGGTTGAGCGGCCTTAGCATATCATTAGCATATTGCACTTTGGTTGAATGGACAACTGGACACTTAGCATATTAGGCTTTTATTATATAGGATAACACTTAGTCCAGTGATGGCGAACCTTTTGAGCTCGGCGTGTCAGCATTTTGAAAAACCCTAACTTAACTCTGGTGCCGTGTCATATATAGAAATTTTTTGATATTTGCAATCATAGTAAACAAAGACTTATATTTTTGATATTTATTTTATATATTTAAATGCCATTTAACAAAGAAAAATCAACCAAAAAAATGAGTTCGCGTGTCACCTCTGACACACGTGTCATAGGTTCGCCATCACTGACTTAGTCCAACATGGAATCTATGATTAAATTGTGTCCATGTAACTCAAAATATAAGCAGAGTTTAAATTTTTTTCATGATGTATGCGATAAACATAAGATGCACAACACCTAACATCAGCTATCCAAACCCCAAATTGTGAAATGCCATGTAGAGTTAATAATTTAGAGCCTATCATTCCATCTTTATTCCTAAGTATTTAAGACATAATCTACATATAGTGTTTCATTTATCCACATAATATCCCTGAGATGTAAATTAGAAGACATTCTTAATATACTGAAGAAGAGAATGTGTGTATGTAATGGAAACCAATTCCACATAAGCCAGTTAATAGGTAATCATACCAGCTCTAGGAATTCATGTTAAATTTATCCTCAGTAAGACATCAATATAATCAAAATAAAAGCATGTTTTTGCTTTCTTGAAAATTATTTCAGTTTTGAGTTATTTCTGAGCATGTATATACAAAGAGTGATGACTTTATCAGGTGGGAGTACAATGAACTCTTCTGTGAGCCCAAATGATGGTCAATCAAAGGCTACAGAGAGTGACATTTTCACTTATTTTTAATTGACACATGTAATAAATAGTGACGCTTTATGAAGGATCTCGTCAGGCAACATTTGTTTCTTCATCTAATGATGCTTAAATACACTAAGGGGGGGAAAAGATTTTTTTCCATGTTTTTCTTTTCTTTCTGTCTGGCTGGGGGAAGTATAAGTGAAGTCAGGAGAGCCCTGCATAATGAATGTCTACTAGACAAGGCCCTCTAATGTAAATAATTTTGTTTTGACTCTTACCAGAACCTAAGCTTGCCAGATGTGAAGTTTTCTAGGTCTAGTAGCAGCAGCAGCAATAGGTTTGCATCAAAATTCTGGCACACTGGCCATTACTTTTCCTCTGAGGGATCACAGAGTATGTTTCACTGACTGGTGTCCTGGCACCGTCAGAAATGCTTCAGAATTCACTGACCACATTTCTGGGCTTGTCACGGGCTCCCTACCTTGGCTGGGCAGGCAAGGCTGTAGGCAGAGCGAAAAGTGGTTTGTGGTGTGTCACACACAGGCCGACTGCACTTTATAGTAAGTCCCTGGGACCAGGTGAGTTACGTAATAAATGATGTGTGAGCTCTCACGTAGGCCATGTTTACTTACCGATTTCCCAACGCCAACTTACCAGGCCCTAAGTGAAACCTACAGTCCAACACCCATTTCTTTTAGCTACAGATTTGCCAACCTCCACGTCTTCTGGAGCATTTAGCTATGCTGGTATTGTGTGAGCAAAACTTCCCAATGATTTTTTTTTCTTTTAATTTAACTTTTCCACTGGCTCTTCTGGCAGACTGCAAACTCAGTCAGAGCCCAGAATACTCAGATAAGTCCCTCTCACAAGGATCCATGTTCTCACGTGAATCAAAATGATTTTTGCCAATTTGGAGCCACGTTCAGTCTGAAATCTGTGGCTGATTATTCATTACATGGGGACAATGCTCTTTTCCCTTCAGTCAAGCAACTTTGAAAACGAACACCAGAGCCAGAGCATTTTTTCTCATGAGCAGTTCAGTGTGAATGATTCATGGTTAACACATTCCCTTATATAAGCATGAATGAACAAATTCACATTGAGAAAAGCCTATTAACTTGTATTTATTTTTGAAGCTGATTTTCTTGAACTTTTGTGGCATTCAAAAGTACTTCAAAATACTACAAACACACACACACACATATATACATACACACATACTCATACACACACACAAACAAACACAAAAACACACAACACTTGGGCCAATGCTTAGAAGAACAGTCACATGTAAGGGATTTATACACATGCCCACTGTAACTTGAAATATACACAGGAGGTTTATACATCCAGTGACTGAATTTAAACAAAAGTCTGGCTATAATTCAACATTTAAATCCAAAAGCAACGTACTGAACGCCTGAAATCCAAACCAAAGTAGCTCATGAAGTGAAATCCACTGGCTAAAATGAAGTAAACTGTGCACACTTACATTTACGATAATGACAAATGGAATAATTATATAGTAATTAACGTGAGAAAGGGTGGGGGTGTACTTAACTTCATTACTTAAGAGAAAGATGGTCAAGGTAGCTGAGGCTGCACCAATGTTAATTCCATGTCCACTTATAGCTCTGTAATTGTGATTCTGCTGTGGTTTTTCACCATGATACTCCCACTTTTTTTCTTTCCTATTGAAAACATCTTCCTCGGAACTGCATTTCTGTATTTATATTTCCTATACTATTAAGTTCAAAAAAATCCTTTGGCGTTTTTCTTACATTTTTCAAAACCCATCATTTACTGATTCTGAGGCCCCTAGTCCTATCTCCCAACTAGCTTTTCTAGGGTGGGAAATGGGTGGAATCTTTGCAAGAAGCTTTTGGCAAATCGCACATGAGCTTCCATCTGTTTCCCAGCTGTTTCAACTGAGGCAAAACTCCCTCCCATATCCTATGCCAAATGGTAGGTGCTGAGGGGGAAATCTGGAAACTGCCTCCCCTTTTTCCCTACGACCATAAACAAAATGTCGTCATGTGCACAGCATATATTCCAGTGTAAAATATTACAATTGTTGTTTCCCGTCTCAGATACTTTAATGCACACGTGGGCGCACTCAGTGCCTGGAGGAAATGTTGACTTATGTATTCAGGTAGAGTTGGCAGTCCCTGTACTTCCCTAACCTTTTGCTCCCTGGGACTATGCTAATGGAAGAAGTCTGCAATACTTCCGTGGAGGATACAAATTGCCCCCCAAGGATTAGTTCTGTCTACCATTTAGAACTTCTCCACATGTGACTTTTTATTTCCCCTAGTGCAAAAGGAAGCCAAAAAGATAATGTTTTATTGAAGACAACTAATGTGAGGGCTTGTTCTATTCACTCGTGGCACAGAATGCTTTTGAGCAAAAGGGACATATTAAGGTATGATTGAGTATATTTTTGGCTACCCTGCGTAAACTTATTAGCTTGTTTAAATGAAGGTCGTAACTTACCTATGTCTGTAAAATATCAAAATGTAAAAGAATGTCTCTAGCTTAGACTAAAAATGAATACTTTCTCATATTCCCTAAGAAAGATTGAATACTAAGCCAATCTCTTTAGTCCTTTACAACTTCTTGTATCAACGTTTTGTAAGCTATTCAAAATGATAGATATTCTGTTCTTATGAACAAAGCTGAACAAATAGTAGGTCTAGGAAGCTAATGATTATTTTTACATAGGTATAGGGACTGTGGATGGAGAAAAGGAAATTTATAGAATAATCTTACTGATGTTAGTAATTTTCACATTTAAAAGGGGAAATTGCCTTCCTTTGGGGAAATTTATCCAACTTGCTACCCCAGCTTCTTAATGAGTAGCCATTTCTTCCTCCTCAGATTTTTCTTTTTTAGAGTAAACAACTTTCCAAAGAGGTTCTTAAACCCTCTTAGACTGATCCAGTCTCCAGATTTGAGAACCGTAGCCACAGTGAGCTACTACTATTAGTGAATGCATCTAATATACACTGAGATATGTATGGGGAACATAGGATTGAAAACCACTATGCTAAACTAGACTAGAAAATAGCACCGAAAGCATCCACTATTTCTTATACCTTTGATATGAAAAAAGTACAGCTATGATTATAGTTTCTCTTATAAAGCAAATTCCAATTTTAAAGACAAAAAAGAAATTCTCATTTTTTAGTAATAGTTTAGTAATAAAAAGAGGAATAATCATAGTTGTAGTCAACATGCAAAAATCATTCTACAGACTGGGGCAGTGGCTGTCAATTGGTGGACGCACTCTT